CTGCCTTGATTCTTCCTGGGGTGGGAAGGTAGGTGAGGCTGGCCTCTCAGAGTGCTTTCTAGCCCTGCAATTCTTTTGAGAAATGAAAGATAATGCATGTTCCTAACTTATTTAACTGAAATCAGCAGTAGTCAGCTCAACTGGTGATGTGGATCTGCATGTTGATCCATATGCAGATCAGTCAATAGCCAGAAAGCAAGTAGGACATTGGTTGTGTTTAAAATCTGACTGGGTCTGAATACAGCTAGAGAACTAATGCTATAAATACTTAATGTCTTAATTCAGCTTTGTTCCTTAGAAATCATCTCTCCTTCCTCTGAAACACAGCAGCAGAAGTTAAGTTTAATAATTAAATTTTAGAATTTATTGTAAGTTCTGCTTTATATCTAAAATAATAGCTACAGCTTTGTCAGTGTAATCTTTCATTAAATTCTTTTCAAACAGTTTTTTTGGTAGCAAGAAATACTGTGGCAGTTAGAAAATTGAAGTCAGATTTAGATCTTGGTAAATTGCCCCTGATTTATACCGTTGTAACAGATGACAGAAACCAGCTCATATACAACAGAACAGTAATAGCGACTTTATCGATGTAACTGTTGTACAAGCAGAGGTAAGGCTCCAGTACACTGGAGAAATGCCAATTTTCCAAAGAAAATGTTTCTTTCAAAATAAAGTATGAATTTTCATAGTAAACAAACAAAACACCACCTTACTTCTCCATCTGAAAGTAATGGAGAGGGTGAGGAGATAATGAAAATACAGAGGTTTCATAGCAACCCAGTTAGGAATTTTATTTTCTTTCTTATGTTTTCACGATTCTTCATCAGCATTAGCTGCAAGTGACGTCAACCTCCACAGAAATCTAATGGAAAAGGAGTAGAGGGCAAAAGAGTGCTTTCATTCAGAGTTTTGTAGCCACCTGAAACTAAAAGGAGGTTGCATTGTTGCTATAGGTGACACTTTGAGGAAGTTGTGCAGAACTTGCTAGCAAAACTGCTTTTGGATATGACAGCAAAAGTTATACCTGACTTACAAAACATGCATGCTTAGCAGGAAGCTGGCGTTTCCAATTCTCTGTTTTTATTCCACATACTTCCAAGCAGAATACACAGGAGTGAATGGCCAGGCATTTGGGCTTCCCTTTGAATTTTTAGTAGAGTTTGGCTCAGTGCTTTGTTGTAGTTGGTTTGTTTGCTGACAAGGAGCACTTGGGAATGCCCTCTGTGGGTCTGTCAACACAAGGCTTTAAGTCCCCGTTTTCTGTACTCTGTGAACCCGGTTTGAGAACTAGTGGAAGCCTTTCTATTAATTTGAGCAGACTTTAGCTCACACCACTGTGTGTAGCCATGAAAGATCCAGTTAAGAGTGAGGGTTTGTTTCAAATGTTCTCAGTGTGCTGTTGTCAGCTCTTTTCAGCAATGCATGACAGCCACTTGCTATGCCAGATATGGCTGCATTTAGGTGTGCCGCATCTATGGAGTTTGCAAATGTTCTTTGATGTCCACTTGGAGAAAGGTGATGATCAGCATCTCTAGTCTTAGAGAAAGCAAACCTTCTAAATCTTAGAATTACTCAGTTCCTGTCTAGGCAAATGGAGAGCATTGCTGCATTTGAGGTCTACATCAGCAGAGATATTTTCTAGGATTACAAAATCTTATTAAAAAAAAAAATCAGTAACACTTGGATTAATGGACAAAAATCTCAATGTTTTGGGATATTTTTGACAAAAGCATGGATGGGATATTTTTTGGTTATGCTAAATACCACAGACATTACACCTTGGAGTTTTTCTCCCAAGAGGAATAACTACTCAAGACACTAGGAATTCACATGTTCTGATCTCCTGGTCTGGTTGCCAGGTACAATTCAAGTAGATGCAAGTGTCTGTGCCAACTGTGTACATGAGCTCAATGCAATTGCATGCATGCTTCAAAGAACAGATTTTTGGCAAGTGGATATGAACTGATTTTTATTCTAGGACCTTGAGCCTGTGAATTGCTTAGCAAGCCATTTATTTGTATGGTTTTCAAGGACTTGTCTAAAACAAAACTATTGTTCTAAGATGTCTTTCTTGAAGAATTTTTACACTAAAATGTCAAAAAAGCTGTTGCAGTTTAAATATTTAAGCAATCCTAAGCAATACATTTTAGGGATATTTTCCTTCTTTTTTATATCATCCTTGTGTACCTTTTTTGCCACCAGTTATGAGTAAAAGCTGTAGAAGTTAATAGAAATTACACATTACTCAGAAGCAGAGAAATGGCCCCTGCTGCCTGTGTCCTCTTTCCCATAAGCTTGTGAGCTTTATCCCCAGTTCCTTTGCTGGAGACCATCACCTCCCAAGTGGTTAAATGTCTGTGGTAAGCATCTTTAATGCAATGAACAGATGTGTGTAATAACCACCTAATGTTTTGCTAGGTTTTGCAATGGAACAGGTATGGTTACTGCTCCTGCTGACGATTAAAGTGCTTTCAGTGACTGCTCAGTTCAATGGATACAACTGTGATGCTAACCTCCATAGCAGGTTTCCTGGTAAGTGTTTAATAGACTTCTTTCCTAATGGCTTCTTTATTGTCTTGGTTCAAAGCAATGCTTATTTTGAAAAACAAAGCTTTAAATTTGTCTGAAGCCTGGGGGTAGGACTCCACGTTAAGTGAGTGTTAACTGTCTTGGTGACAATGAAACTCTTCTAATGTTGCACTTTACTTTCCTCTTAATTGCACAATGGGTCAAATTCAGCCTCGTAGTAATGAATATACCTCCCCTTGCATCAGTGGGGTTTGACCTGCTTTTGCCAGAGCTCTATCCTGGCCAAGAAATTCACTAGAGGTCATGTTGTTGGAAGTGTACTCTATGGATTTGAGTCTGAAATGTCTGTCTGGGTTTTCTTTCATGTTTTATCTGGATAAGAGAATATAATTATGTGCTTTTAGTTAAAGAAAAATATATCTATTTTTGAGCAAAATGAAGTCGATGGCAAAATTCAGTGCCTCACTTCAACACCAAGCACTTGGTTAGGGACAGATGAAGTAATGGGATCTATGTATGATGTACACTCATGCCTGTGAGAAAATGGGAATTAAGTCATTTTAGGGACATCGGATGTCCGGAGCTGTTAATACAATGAGAAATAGAAATGACATTTTGGTCTTAGTGACATGTGTATCAGAGTTTACTCTGCTAAAGAATATTTTCAGTCTCTGTTACATTGCTTATCCTTCCTGCCCTGGTTGTTTCTTGGACAGAATAATAATAATCAAGGCCGTGAATACTGGCTTGCTCACATCTTGTGTTTCTGAGGTAGCAATTGATTGAACAGTATAGTGATGAACTCTCAGTATAGTATTATGCTGTAATACCTTTCAGTGTTGTTGCTTTCTGAATAATAGTTTTGATTTTTTTCAGGAAGGATCAGCTCTTTGATTAAACTTTTAAGTCGGCAGAAAGCCTACAGTCTGTTTATTGTTTCGTGTGTTACCACCACACTGCTAGGTGCTTTATTGACGTAAAGACCAACAGTGGGTTTGATCCTTGTTCACTTAGTTGATGTGAATATGAAGAGTAGAGAAATAAGACATGCAAAGATGATCAAGTACGTTGTCTCCATCCCTAGCAAAAATCACTGTTTAACTGAGCATTTCACAAACTACTTCTATATTTCCCTTCTTGGGTAAAAGTTTTACAGGCTTGCCTCAAAAGTGGATGAATTGTGCCTGCTTGCTTCAGATCTACCTTTCATAGTTTTTCATGTAATTGTTTTTCTGTTTCAGGCTTCTTGAGAGGATTGCAACAGCTAGAAGGAAGTTTAGAGTCCTCTTTTCTGTGCTTTTAAAATATTTCTCTGGTCATTTTTTGCAACAGTCCTGTGCCAAGGTTTTATATTTGCAATGTGATATCCGTGAACTGAATCCAGCTCTTATTGTGGGTATTTAGGGGCCACCTGCAGTTCTGCCTCATAAAAAAGGGTCATATCAGATTCCATGTCTGCCAAATTTCAGGGACTTGGGAGAAAACCTGTTTAGGTTACAAGTAAACAGATTATTTTTTTAAGTAAATGCTAATCACCCCGCACTGCCCATAGGAGCTGAGAGTTGAATCCTGTTCTTTCTTGTTTGTGATCTAAGGCAATAGAGATTCAAAGGCTGGAATTTGATCAACAGTCTTATTGCTGATTTTGAGAGCTAGGAAAAAAAATAATTCTGTTTTAGTCGTGCATTTGAGATAGAGGTAAAAAACAGAAAACCCTTTTGTCCCAAAATTTAAGGGGTATTATTTACATAGCAGTCTCTTCTCTGTACTGAAATGAGCTGGGGCTAGCAGAGCTGAGTGAGGCTGCTGGAGCTCTGTTTTCTGGGTTCAAGAACCCCAGAAGATGGATGAGAGAGCCTCTGCGGGGAGAAGGGGCTTGCCCTTGCTATGCTTGCTTCCCCAGCGCTCAGCTCAGGCTGTGGCTTTCAGGGTGCTGGCCTGACTGCCTCCAGAATTCAAATGTAAGGGGACTGGTGAAAGAGGTCAAAAGAGAGAATGTTTCAAAACAAGCATCCTGTAGGCTGAGATACTGCTCACAGAGTCTGGTTATGGATAGGACTTCCTTTCTGTTCCTTTTGTTCCACACAAAAGAAGTCTTAATTGATATCAGCTGGAATTCCAAACATGGGGCGAGAATGGACTTTCTTGCTGAGGTCTGTGGTGTGCAGAAATCAGAGAAGCCATTGGGTTTTGAAGTTGTCTGCTCTTTTTCTTTAAATGCTGTGAAGAACAGAAGTTGTCTTCAGCAAAGATGAGAAATTAAGCCTTCCTAAAGGAGCCTTGGAGCTCATCCATTTTTCATTTGTTTGTGCTTTTATCATTCGTTGCTTGGGTGACTCTAGCATAGGGATGGTACTGCATAAATAGGATGATAAATAATCAGGCAGGACTTTGGTTTCTGTAGTTTGTGGGTTTGTTTTAGAGTGTAGGTATGCAATAGTTAGCAGGCATGAAGAAAAAAACCCCATATTTGGTAGATTGAAAACTCTGTGACGTTTTATACCAAAAGCAAGATGTGTTCTAGAGAGTATGTAGTAAGGTCAGATCCTGCTGTCCTTCAGAGAGTTGCCTGGAGAAAATAGCTTTAGTTCTGCATTGCAGTAAAGCATAGCTTTTTAGAAGGCTTTTGGGGGATGGAGCCATAGCAGTCTGCCTGTCTTCAGATGGGAAATGCACTGTTTTGATTCAGGGGGATCTTGCCGTAAGTACATATGGAGAGCTTAATAGAAGCTAAGAAAATATTGCAGCTTTTTTCACAGACACTCTGCATTTTAATTCACTATCAAAGCAGTGATTTGATCAAAGAGGAGGCTCATGCAGAGAAGTTGTTTTTGAACTATAAATGTCTTTGCGCACCTCTTCTGGGGGAATGATTTCTGTCAATGGTGTTCCGTGGCAAACTCTTTCCTCTACATGTTTTTTGCAGTCTGCTCTGGGGCAAGTCTTGGCAATGTGAGGAAAGGTGCCAGAGCAGAAGCGGGCAGTGGAGCTGTCAGCATTTGGCTCGTTGCTGTGGGTCCGTCCTTGATTCAGGATGGTCTCTGTTACTGTAGTATCTATGTACCTCTTGAGCTTTGCTGTTTTGCATGCGACACCCTTGTGAGTACTGTTGACTAAAGGTAATTTGTGTTATTTGAGTCAGAAAGAGGCAAAGTGTTTTGCCTGTACAGAAACTCTGTGACAAATGGGTCATTATATTGAAGGCCTTATCAGCTGGGTGACCATTGCTCCTCTCTCACTCAGAAAACCAGAAGCTTTTACAGCAGGAATGCATATTTTTTGTTTAAACTTAAACATATATGAGAATAATATTTACCTTTCTAAAGTCACAAGAAATGAGCTAGATGTTTAGTATCTAAAGGAGCATTAGATCTGTTTGTACCTGGTTTCAGATTCATTTATGAACAAATAATGTTTTAATTCCAGAATGGACTGATTTGGCAACAATCCTTCCTTGTAAAGTAATGGGCAGAAAAGGTTCTAGTCTAGAAAGGTCATTTATCTTCCTGTATAGCACAAAGGTGTTTTTTGTACTGTATGGTCTCATTTCACTTAGTGTCAAATGAGAATTTTGCAAGTGGTAATGGTACCTTAACAGGTAAAGTAATATCATGCCTTTTAAAAGGCTTGAAGTGAGTTATAAAATTAACTGAGCTACTTTATATTACGTCATGCAATTCGTTACAATCTGACTGTTTGTGCATTGGTCCAAATAAGTATAAAGGCGCACTTTGCCCTAGGCCTTTTTGTACTGTTCCCTCTACCTTAGTATACCCGTTAAATGGATCATAACAGTCCTCATGTGGTGAATACCAAGGCATGCTTCTTGGCCTTTGTAGGTTATGTTAGTGGAATTATGTATATGTACAAACCAGGTAAATTTCTTGCAAAATCACTTCAATTCCTGTCTTGCCTCCAATACCTTTCTGTGCAAATTTACACCCAGTGAGTAACATTTATCACCACATTAGCGTAGGACTGAGTTTAGCCTGTTATTTCCTGCACTTGATTGTTTTGGCTTTAAAGCCACCATTAAAGCTGTCTAAATTAAACTGTTTGTGCCTCTGTACCATGGGGGAAGAGCTAGTTCATTATAGCAGAGACTTCATTTCCTCTCTGTTGTGACAATGCAGTGAAACAATTCATTTCAGCAGGCTTAATGGTATAGTATTGACTGAAGTTGTTCTGCAGTTTTTAATAGCACTTAATCTTTAAGCAGATGTAATAAATGAGTTGTTATATAAAGGAGTAATGTCTGTGTTTAACATGATGCAGTATGTCTTTTTGTAAAGCACTAGAGGGAAAAAAACCCCAAAATAGCCCCCCCCAATCATCTACAGACAGAAGAGCTTATAGAAAAGCTACGTTATAGCTCTAAAGCAAAACAAACTTGCTTGTGCCTTTATCCTAACCTGATGCTTTTCCATGCAAGTACATAAAAATCTTCAGAACTTTCAAATAAAAGGTCAAATTCATCCAAGAAGATTTTTTGCTGCTGTTCAAAAATTGATCAGTTGTAACAATTGCTGTTTGCTAGGTCTTTTGTATTGTTATAATGTACAGAATGAAAGATTGCAAGATGCTTTGTAGTATTGATCGTTGTCTTTCAAGAGCCAACTGATTTTTCATTAAAGCTAAAGTTGATGGTTCTTAAAATCCCCAACTTTAAAGATAAATAAATTGCTCTGATATGCTGTTGACTGTACTTCAAAGTCTGTACAGCCTGAGACTGCAGTCTCCTACAAAGTGGACTCCAGACAACCTCAGACAAACACACCTGACTTCCATGCCAGAGTGGGCTGGAAAGCAGAGCTCAGCCCTCCTGAGTTTCTCAAAATTGCTGGAAATTTCTGTTCCAGAAGGGGGCTGTTTAATCAGACTCCAAATATTTAACCACTTGCTGTTTTCCACTCTATACAGTGCTTCAGTTTATGAATGTGCTACTGAATGATTTGCTGGGGAATTTTTGAATAATGTTTTTTCTTGTTTTCTCTTTAGTGAAGTTGTAGAGTCAAATTTGTTCTTCAGAATAATGCAATTCTGACCTTTATATTGCAATATTTTGCTGTGACTGGGGTCTAAAAATTGATTTGATCAGAATTTACAACGCTAGACTATAACTACAACAATAATTATATGGAGATTAGTTGAAATACATCTTCTTACAATGTCTTTCTCTGTTTTTCTTGCAGCTGAACGAGATATCAATGTCTTCTGTGGAGTACAGACAATTACTATGAAGATAAATTTTTGCACGGTTCTTTTCTCTGGTTATTCTGAGACAGATCTGGCACTGAATGGGAAACATGGGGATGCCCACTGCAGGGGTTTCATCAATAACAACACTTTTCCAGCAGTGGTCATTTTCATCATCAATCTGAGTACTTTGGAGTCCTGTGGAAACACTTTAGTGGTAAGACAAGGTCAAAGTGAAATTGTAGCGTGGCTGTTTATGCATAGGATCAAGTGAATGGCCTTGACAGCATTGTATCTTTTACAGATGTTTACATTGTCTTGCCCAGCTAGTAATATACTGCATACATCAAAGAAAATCAGAGAAAGTTGGTAATTTATAATCTTGATTACTAATGAGAAAATGTGGTGGGAAATGCATTTATCCTCTGATTAGAAAGTATGTTTTTTATTTTAGTATTTTTTCAGTGGAAAAACGAGATTTTTTCCAAGCCATTTTTAAAACTCTTGATGACTGTGCCTTAAATTTTGCTGAAACTTTTCAAATACCCACTCGGAAAATGAAAGTAAAATATTTTTAAGAGTGGGTTAGATGAGAGTTACAGTGTGGGTACCTACTTCTGTGCTCTCATATGAGAGGGGCTTGCTGACTGACTGATCTTATGTTCTGTAATAAGGCAGTGACTGAAAGTCTCAAGGGAGATAGGCTGGTCAGAGGGCCCAACCCACAGTGAACATCTCTGCTAGCAGTGCCTTGATGTCTTGCATCTCCTTGGAAGGTCTCAGCTCAATATGGAACTGCCTGGCAACAAACTGAAGTTTTCAAGCAAATTTTGAATGTTTGACACACAAAAAAGGGCTATCTAACCTACGCACTCAATTCATGACAAAAAAAGCCAAGATGGGGGACTGAACTTCAGATTTGTATGTTCCACTCTGATCTCTTAGTGCACAGCCACTCTGTGCTATGGTGTTTTGCCTGGTGGTGTGACTTCAGTGTCTACATTTTATGTTGCTGTTTCATGCATGGACAATGCACATCTTTGTACAGCTAATGGCTAAATCTAATCCTTAGCTGTGGGTGAAATTTTTGGAACCAGAATGTGATCTAGGAGATAACTTTGAAGTCTGTTTTGTACCAGCATAATTTCATTTTCTTCAATGAAACTATCTCTCTCTGAATGGGGGGAGGGAGAGAAGTCAGGTCTCAAACCTTCTAAACCAAGGGAGAGGAGAGTTGTACAGTTCATGTGCATATCACACTATACAAACAGTGATGACTTTTTTGTCAAAGTATCTATTAATAACTTACAAAAACAGGTGTAAAAACGTGTAATTTTTAAGGCTTATATTCTGTCTGGAATTCATACTTGCACTTGATACCTGCCAGTTTTTATAACCACCCCCCTGTTTTCTGTTGCTAATAATTTTGCAAAACTGGGCTAAAATGTTCGATGTGCTCTGTGACCTATTTGCCTCAGGCTGAGTTTTCTTTTAAAATTTCAACAAAAAAACAGCTCAGCAAGTTCAAGATTCTGTTTTCCCATTTTTCCTGAAAAGCTGTAGCACCTCCATGTCTTGCAGTAGAAGAATTTACCAGGAAGCACCTTTTTCCTGTTCCCGTGGAGTTGGTCACATTGTAAACTCCCTGAACTTGCTATTTGATTACAATTGTAAGAGCTTGATGTTTTTTAAAAAAAACCCAACAGCGTGGTAAGTCTAAATAATTGCAGCTCCCCATGAAGCCCCCCACAAGGCTGTACAGGATACAAAGACAAAGTAGCAGCTGCTAAAAATATGACCAAAAATTCCTCTCATCCTCTCTTAGTTTATGCATGCTGTGCCACAAACAAAGAGGATAAAGGAGCAGGGAGCATTTCTTATCATGTTCCCCACATTGGAGTAGTACAATCCCATGCATTTCTTGGCTGTGTTTCACAGCAAAGACCTTAACAGTAATTTTCAACAGAAGTAAAGCAAAGACAACAGCTCAGGTAAAACCCAGGTCTGTCTCTAATATGGCAGACACAACTTTTTATTTTTTTGGGGGTGGGGTGGTGGTGAAGGTAAACAGAGATGTAGTTGGCTATACTACATTAGTGCTCTAGCCTCTGTTTTTTAGGCAAAGAATAGATCCTAGGAAATCTGATTTTATTGTTTTCCTGCCATTTAGCAAATGATTAGGTATACTATTGGCAAAGTATATGGCTGTATGTGTCTTCTAGCTGTTTTTTCTGTAACCAAAGAAATCAAAATACCTGCTGTGTACCCTGTGCTACTTAGTGTAAAATGTTACAACTCATGCGCACCTCAGGATGATCCTTCCATAATGAAATATCTTTTTAAGAAACTGTTCTGAAGCTATTGAAAGCATCTGTTTTGCTAATACAGTTACACAAAAGAAATGCTACAGTGGCAGTCCAGTGCCATGTTAATTGGCCTTATTGTGTATGTGCCTACTGAGAAAGTAATTTGTGACACTTTATCTGCTGTTTTCAAACCGCCCCCTTATTCCGATCAGTAGCTACAGATGGAGTAGGGCTGGGCTGCTACCAGGAGGAAAGGGTATCCTTCAGTTTTTTGGAGAGCTGCATGTTATTGCTGGCTCTGCATGCTCTGTGAGCCTGAGCAACACAGGGTAGCATGTGTCCAGGGACTTGGTTAAGGTTGCATGGGCATTGCGGTTGTATTACTTTTCAGCTCTTGCATTCCTGACTGTTTCTTTGCACACAATAATTTAGATTTAGAGATGTATAATGTAGACAAAAGTACAGACTCAAAGTTCAGCTGTTTGGCTTGTATCTGCTTATAAAGTTTTTGGCACATCAAAACCAGTGTACAAAGCTCAAGAGTGACAGAGTATTTTTTTCTGTGAATGAAATTGCTTGTGTATTGACTTTATTATTGCATATGGAAGCTCATTTTAAGCTAATATTTTTTAACTGCAATAGAAAAGTTCCTTCAGCTTTTCCCAGTAAGTCATGTGAATTCACTGGGAATGCTCAGAAAAAAAGTACCTACCAAAAAAACCTGCTTCCAGGATTCATCAAGCTTTTTCAAATGTTGCTCCAGTCTGTGTTTTAAGAACAGGGATACCGCTTGTGAACTGCATATACATGATTTCAGGGAGGTGAAAAACCGAACATAGGGAACATGTTGTTAAACTAAATCAATTTTTGAAGGATTTCCTGAAGGTATCTATGGGTAAATTATGGGCTAAAGGATCAGTGTCCTTAGGTGTCTTTTGTTCCATAGTTGACTTTCTGATAATAGCTGTTTTCTGCTCCCTCAATAGGTATCCTCAGCTCGAGGTATCAATGCTTATGGAAATACCTCAGTGATACAGATAGGTAATGTTTCAGGCTATATTGATACGCCAGACCCACCAACGATTATCAGCTATTTGCCTGGGCTTCTGTACAAATTTAGCTGTAGCTATCCACTGGAGTACTTGGTTAACAATACCCAGCTTGCTTCGTAAGTGCGCTTTTCTTTTCTGTGTGTTTCATTTCCATATTTATGTAAGTCCATATGTATTTGTGTGTATATGCATACCCACCTAAATATATGCGTGCCATAGCAGTACTGTCAACATAGTGATTTTTAGCTGTGCAAGAGTAAAGGGAAAGGAAAAGAAAATTCTGTAGCATCATCGTATGAGATAACATAGTTTATGAAGAGTTGCCATTATGAAGAGAGCCTTAGATAATGTAAAACTTTCCTTAAAATTCGGATGTTCTGATGACAAAATGGTAGCAGCAGAAAAATGGAAATTCTTCATGAAGTAGTTTGTAAGCATGTGAATATGGAGTGCAAGAGAAAATATTTCAATGAGTAAACCTTGTATATCATGAAAAGTGGGTTCCTTTTTGTCACTTTGCCTCTCTACTAATTATTTTTCTGATTCATGTTTTCAACAGTATCCATTACTTTCTGCGTAGTTAAGGTTCTGTCAGTGTTTCCAGTATAAATTCCTATTTCTGAAGTTTATAACCCAAATACATAAATTAACACCTTGTGACATGACTCGTTGAGTTTTTTTAATGATTAAAAACACTGAAGTACATAAACACAAAAATAAGATATCTATCTTCATGATGGTTTTTGGTTTCTGGTTCTGTTGTAGGTCATCAGCTGCTATTTCTGTAAGAGAGAACAATGGTACATTTATCAGCACTTTGAATCTGTTGCTTTACAATGTGAGTATAAAACTGGATTAGCAGAGCAAAGTATAGACTCTTCATTATTTGCTATTCCCTTCCCACTCCTCCCATGAAGAACGAGGCCTTTCATCAGGGCATCTGTCATCTCTGAATTCCCTTGTCCTTTTTGTTTGCATGTATCTGTTGCCTTGTATTTATATGGCTGCTCTTTGAGGGGACACAGTCTTTTTGTCCTGTATTTATACAATTTACAGCTCTGGCTTTCAGGTTGTAGTGCCATGTGAATAACAAGTTGTAGTAAAAATAACCATAATCATACTCTGGAGTGCATACTTGTGTTTGCTTTTATTATGTATGTGTGTGCATATTTCTCTCTGTGTGTGTATATATGCGTATAGGAACGTTGTACTGGTACAGAGTACTCTGTAGAATTCTGTAAAAATTTTCTAGACCTGTTCCCTTAGCAATACACTGTAGCACTTTTGCTGGGGTATTTTTATGTTCAAGCCTTATCTCGGAGTGTTTTGATCATCTGTAATTGTAGTGAGGGATGTAGTATTTGTTCCAAATCTATAGCCCACTGTACTTGTTGCCTCACTGTGTGGACTTCCAAGATTTTAAGGGTTAATTTTAACAGCTTTCAACTGACATTTCTTCCATATGTTTTATATAATTTAATTTGAATATGCATTATTGTATAAGCTTTTACTGTGTAAATACGGATGGTGACAGTAAAATGTGAAAAATGTACAGACCTCTACTTAACAACATTAATCTCGGCAATGATATTTTCATGTTGATTAAAAATTTTATTCATACATTTTAAATACCTGATTTAAATATCAATTTTTCAATCTATCAAGCAACATTTTCGTAAATTATGAATCTGTTTTTTTGCATTATTATTCATGCTATCATGACACTGAGTTATAATTTATGCAACTGATTTAAAAGTCAATGCTTTATGCTTTGAACATAATGAGCTATAAATATTGTAACAGGACATTTTCCAAAGGCATGGTTTAAAAAAAAAACCATGTTTGTTTGACAGAGCAGAGCTCCAAATAAGAACCTATAATCTGTTAAAATGAAGATTATACTTCTCATTTTTTAAATAAACCTGTGACCAAAATGATGGGGCAGGGTGAGGGTAGCCAAAGTTTCCAGTGAGGTCAAGCATTGACCACCATGTTTGCTGCCTTTCAGGGCCCAGTTCTGCACACAGTCAGTTATAAATGCTAGTGATGCTTGTACTGAGCAAGTTTTTTCCTCAAATACTATATGCCAAGCTGGGCTTTCATCCTCCCTACCCCAGTGAGTTACAAGTTGACCTTGAACAGTGGCGTCTTATCCTTCTGATTTCAGTTGTATTACTCTAATGAGTAGCACGAGCATGAATAATGCTGCTAAGGCTGGCAGATTTAAATGATGGATATGCCCTTCTAGTTCACATCCTAGGGCTGGCTGTGTACACAGACGCTTGTGCGTTGCCTGCAGTTTGCCTGGTTGGGCCGCGCCTCCTGGGACGCCCGTGGTCTTGTGAGCTCTGACCCTGTGGGCTCACTTGGTCCCTGCTAGAGAGTCCTGGTTTTGGGAGGGGCCTTGAGGTTCCTGTCCACCCTTGGTGTTGGTGAGGGGTTGTGTACAGATGTGGCTCTTGACTGCAAGCAGCCATACTTTCAGACTTAGCTGTAGTGTTATTTCCTAACATTGATGCTTCATCTTCTCAGCTCACCTCCATCTTCCCTCACAAGGTGACGTTTACATTTACTTTGTGTTGTTAGTGTGTTATTCTTAGGAAAGACAAAAGGAAGCATTATGATAGACTCAAAGACTTTAATAGCAAAACATTTAATGGGCTTTCACAGAGCCTAAGTGGCTGTGTGCTTTTAGGCCTTCCTGTAAATGTCTGTCTAAATGAATAAAAACTACTCTTTAAGGAAAAAAACAACATCTATGGAATGTAATAGTGTGGGACTGGCTGTAGACTTTTTAATCAGTTTGGAAAATGTGAGAGCTATGTATTAGAGAAATCTATAATTAATTTTAAAGAAGGCAAACGTACCTGATCTCACTTGAACGGATCTTCAAAGACTTGCTCTGTGTATGTTGCAGAGCCGGTCTGTGTGTGCATGTGTACATCCCAAGGCCTCTGATGCTGCAGAGATTGAATATTGGGAGTGCTGTGAATTTTGGCATTTTTACCTTTGAAAAAAACCACTTGATTTATGTGCTTAATCCTTCTTGTTGCTGTCAGCTGCTGATCTTGGTCTTACCTGCCACACTGAAACTGGTCAAAATTCTGTTTAACAAATTTTTTTTTTGTATTGAGTGTTTCAGCCTCTCACAAGAGGTCTCAACATGCTGAGTCCCTGTGCTTTCTGGATTAGCAACCTATTTGGTGTAGGTGACGTTACCAGTAAATGCATTTTGATATACTGAATTAATGTCTGTCACTCAGATCTGTTTCATGGCATTGTTGCTAAAGTGACATTAATGGTTCAGCCTTTGAAGAAGAAACCAATAAAACAGCTATATCTATGTGGTAGCATATGGGGAATTCCAACTTTTGTTACATACAGCTTTCTTGAAAGAGCTTTTTTGAAATACTAGAATTTAAATGAAAATGTTTACTTGTAGTCTTCAACAAGCTAACTCCCATAGAAACTACATTTTGCATAATAGAATGTGCCTGTTCTCCCAGACTACAGCTTAAGATATATAAACTTGGTGGCACTGTTATCTCCACTAAATCAAATAACCTTACCAACCTTTCCTGGGACAGGGTACACTGTGACAACTCAATTAAGCTCCTCCTTTAGAAAACCACAGTAGCTGCTATGTTTGCATGTAGGTGCTGGGAGACTTACTGAGGTGTCAGTGAATGATACTTTTTCTTTGATCACTGATCCAACCACTTCATAAAATCATAAATAGATTCCCCAAAACAGTTGCATAGGATAAGGCCAGTCAAGTGTTGTTGATCTTTACAGACAAACTTGTAGGCAAATGTTCTGGTGCTGCTTTTTGCTTCTTCCCTTGCAGAGGACAAAGTAAATGACTGTCCTACATAGAAAGGTCAGAAAAATTAGATGGGAGTTCAGTCAGTGGATGCAGATGGGTTGTTACAGTGGGATTGCTGGTACACTGAGGCAATGTTTGTTTTTCAGGATTCAACCTACAGCCAGCAGCTCCTTATTCCAAGCACAGGTTTACCTTTGAAAACCAAAATATATGCAGCTGTAAGAGCAACCAACCTTGATGGCAGGTACCATAAAGGATGTTATTTCTTATCTTACTTGCTATTCAGCTCTTGCTGTTGCAATTTTTTCTGATTTAGAAGCAACTGTCTTTCCTCATAGCCTTCTGTATGTTAAGATAATGGTTGGTATTTGATAATCACTGCCCTTAGCTGGAGGGCATCGGGTCCTTGATGGTGAATGCATATCTTGCTGCTGTCCTCATTATGAAAGTTTTCCTGAATTATACTTTAAATCCTATATTGCTGTTATTTAAGAAAGGGCCTCTATAAGATCAAGTGAGAGACTCCAGGGCTTTTGTTGTGGTTTAACTGCAGCTGGCAACTAAGCACCACACAGCTGCTTGCTCCCTCCTGCCCCACAGTGGGATGGGGGGGGAAGAGAATTGGAAGGGTAGAAGTGAGAAAACTTATGGGTTGAGATAAGAACAGTTTAATAATTGAAATAATAATAAATTGTAATGAGAAGGAAAATAACAAAGATAAATGAAACCCAGGAAAGACAAGTGATGCAAATGAAAATAGTTGCTCACCACCAACTGACCAATGCCCAGCCAGTCCCTGAGCATCAGCTCCCCTGTCAGCCTTCCCCCTAGTTTTATTGCTGATCATGATGTCACATGGTATGGAATAGCCCTTTCATCGGTTGGGGTCGGCTGTCCCAGCTGTGTCTCCTCCCAACTCTTTGTGCACCCCCAGCCTACTCATGGGTGAGGTGGGGTGAGAGGCAGAAAAAGCCTTGACCCTGTGTAAGCACTGCTCAGCAGTAACTAAACTGGTCCCTGTGTTATCAACACTGCTTCCAGCACAAATCCAAAACATAGCCTCATACTAGCTGCTATGAAGAAAATTAACTCTATCCCGGCCAAAACTAGCACATTCTCCACCCCTTATTCCATACAATTTACGTCATCCTCAGGTCTCATTCTATCCAATACATCTTCATTACTCCTCCCCCGCTTTCTATCCTTTGATATAATACACAGATATCATTCACTTAGTCTGTGGACCACCCCTGTGAAATGTCTGTAAAATGTCCACAAAAGGTCCGTTGATTTAATTTAGTCCATGACTTTGGGCTTCATCTGTGATGGTGGTCACTCAGGACAGGAGAGGTGGTGTGTTGCAGGGAGTTTTGGGGCACCAAAGCCAGCTCAGGTCGGGTTACTGCTGCACTTGCACTGCTTCTTGTAAGGCTTGTCCTCCATTGGTTCAGGTGGTTCCTGCTACAGTAATTCCCATAACATGCAACTCAAATCCTGGGTTACAACAGTTTAAATGTATATCCATTACAATCTCCACCCCTGGCCCCTTTGGGCCAGGTTATAGGGTTTGACATTGCGATGAACTCCTAGCCTGGCTAGCAACAAGGGGTTCCTGCTATAGTAATTCCATAACATGCAATTTAAATCATGGATTATTTTCGCACAGGATTAAATAACCTTGAGGTACACATTGGACTCCTTAATCCTTCTGCATTACCCACCAAGTGCACCCAGGTCCTTGAGCAAAAACAATCCCATGAATAGGTTTACCCTTCCCTGAGGAAGAAATAATCCAGACTGTTTTTTCCCAACAAGTTCCTTATATGTACCGTGGGAATCTTATCTCCTTCCACAGTGTGCAGGGGTTTTGATTGGGCAGAGACATGTTGACTGACAGATCCTCTAGAGTTAGCTAGCCAAGTGGCTTTTGCTAAATGTGTATCCCTATGCTTGAATGTCCCAGCACCCATTGCTCTCTGTAGTCTTCAACAGTCCATTGCATCGCTCAGTTTTCCTGGAGGCTGGTGCATGATAGGGAATGGGATATAACCACTCAATGCCAATGCTCCTTGGTCCAGGTGTTTACGAAGTTGTTTGGGAAATGAGTCCTGTTGTCTGACTCAATTCTTTCTGGGGTGCCATCTTGCCATAAGACTTGCTTTTCAAGGCCCAGGATAGTATTCCTGGCAGAGGCATGGGTTACGGGGTATGTTTCCAACCATCTAGTAGTCGCTTCCACCATTGTAAGCACATGGTGCTTGCCATGGTGGGTTTGTGGTAGTGTGATATAATCAATCTGTCAGGCTTCCCAATATTGATATTTCAGCCACTGTCCTCTATACCAAGAAGGCTTTAGCCACTTAGCTTGTTTGATTTTGGTGCACGTTTGACATTCATGGATAACCTGTGCAATGGCATCAATAGCCAATTCCAGCACTTGATCAAGAGCCCATTTGTATGTTGCATCCCTTCCTAAATGTCCTGATGTGTTATGGGCCCATTGAACTCTAAATAGCTCACCCGTATGTTCCCAGTCCAGATCCACTTCAATTTATAGAATCATAGAATAGTTTGGCTTGTAAGGGACCTTTAAAGGTCGTCTAGTTCAACCCCTCTGCAATAAGCTGGGATATCTTCAACAAGATCAGGTTGCTTAGAGCCCTGTCCAACCTGACCTTGAATGTTTCTAGGAATGGGGCATCTAGCACCTCTCTGGGAAGCCTGTTCCAGTGTTTCACCACACTTATTGTAAAAAATTTCTTCCTTATATCTAGTCTGAATCTACTCTCTTTTAGTTTAAAACCATTACCCCTTGTCTTATTGGAACAGGCCCTGCTGAAAAGTTTGTCCCCATCTTTCTCACAGGCCCTCTTTAAGTACTGAAAGGCTGCAATAAGGTTTTCCCGGAGCCTTCTCTTCTCCAGGCTGAGTAACCTTAACTCTCTCAGCCTTTCCTAATAGCAGAGGTGTTCCATCCCTCTGATTTTTGTGGCCCTCCTCTGGACCCGCTCCAACAGGTCCATTTCCTTCCTGTGCTGAGGACCGCAGAACTGGACGCAGCACTCCAGGAGGGGTCTCACCAGAGCAGAGTGTTCTAGCAGCCTGGTCTACCTTCTCACTGTTTTGATGTTCTTCAGTATCATGACTCCTGGGTATATGAACATCTACATGACGTACTTTTACAACCAGGTTCTCTACCTGGGCAGCAATATCTTGCCATAATTTAGCAACCCAGATAGGTTTACCTCTGTGCTGCCAGTTGGTCTGCTTCTGTTGCTGCAGCCATGCCCACAGGGTATTTGCCGCCATCCATGAGTCAGTATGGAGATAAAGTACTGGCCATTTTTCTCATTCAGCAGTATCTAAAGCCAGCTGGATGGCTTTCATCTCTGCAAACTGACTCCATTCACCTTGTGCTTCAACCCTTTCTGTGACTTGTCATACAGCAACTTTCCACCTTCAGTGTTTTCCCACAATACGACAGGATCCATCTGTAAACAGGGTGTATTGTATCTCACTTTCTGGTAGTTTATTATACAGTGGGGCCTCTTCAGCATGAGTCACTTCCTCTGGTGACAGTCCAAAGTTTTCGTCCTCTGGCCAGTCCATGATCACTTCCAGAATTCCCTGGTGACTGGGGTTTCCCATTCAAGCCCATCACGTTACCAGTGCAACTCAGTTACTCCATATAGCATCAGTTGCAAGATGCATAGAGGGGATCCTCCCTTTGAACATCAAACCCAGCACAGGCAATCGAGGTGCCAAAAGGAGCTGTGCTTCAGTACCAAGTACTTCTGAAGCGGCTCAAATTCCTTTATATGCTGCTAATATTTCTTTTTCAGTTGGAGCATAACGGGTTTCAGATCCTTTATATCCCTGGCTCCAAAACCCTACGGGCTGACCTCAAGTCACTCCAGGTGCTTTCTGCCAGAGGCTCCAGGAGGGGCCATTATCCCTGGCTGAGGTGTAAAGCATGTCTTTCACATCCTGTCCTGCCCGGACTGGCCCGAGTGCTACTGTGCGAGCTATCTCCTGTTTAATTTGTTCAAAGGCTTCCTGCTGCGCAGGGCCCCGTTCAAAGTCATTCTTCTGGATCACTTGATAGAGAGGGTTTACAATCAGACTACAACCTGGAATATGCATTCTCCAAAAACCCATGACACCTAAGAAAGCTTGTTTCTTTTTTGTTAGTTGGTGGAGACAGGGCTATTTTGTTGATCACATCCATTAGGATATGATGATGCCCATCTTGCCATTTTATTCCTAAAAACTGGATTTCCTGTGCAGGTCCTTCGACCTTACTTGGTTTTGTGGCAAAACTGGCTTTCAAAAGAATCTGGATTATTCTTCTCCACTTCCTCCACTGTGTTGCCTCACACAATGATGTCTGCAGGTGTTCTGGGAGCCTCACCTTGTTCCTAGTGCAGTCTGTATCTGTCCATGACAGATGGTAGGGCTGTGTTTCCAGCCCTGGGGCAGTCAGTTCCGGTGTCCTGTACATCCCTCCAAGTGGAAGCAAACTGTGGCCTGCACTCTGCTGCCAGAGGGATCGAGAAAAACACATTAGCGATATCAATTGTTGCATACCATTTGGCATTCTTTGACTCCAGTTCATATTGGAGTTCTAGCATGTCTGGTATGGCAGCGTTCAGCAGCAGTGTGACTTTGTTCAGGCCTTGGTAGTCCACTATTAGCCTCCACTCTCCATTAGATTTTTGTAACAGCACAGCTTTTAAAAGTGGGATGGCTTTGATTTCTAGTCTTATGTGGCCATGACTTCTGAGAGGAGGTATACAATGTGTGTTGGTATGGTGGTTGGCTTGCACGAAACCAAGTGATTTGATTTATACAATTCTGCTGCTATGCTGTACTGTTCAGTTTTGTAAGTCATGGGAAGAAACAGGTGACATATTGGGAATGCAGGATGACTTGTACATGACCTGTTAAATACAGTAACTGAGCTTCAATCTAATAGCCTGCATGATCAGTTTGTACGCTTGCCTTGTCTTTTAATCTTATCTCACTCACTCTCCACCTCTACTCTTACGTTGCCAGTTGCCCTTACCTATAGCTTTGCTCCCTGTGCAGGTGGAATGTTTTGATGGACTACTGTTACACTACGCCATCTGGTAATCCTAGCGATGATCTTCGATATGATCTTTTTTTCAGGTAGGTCCTGTGCAAACCCAGTGTTTTGTGGGTCCTTTCTTTAAGAAAACAGTTATAAATCTCTCCAACAGTGGTGTTCTAAACTGCCTGGAAAGTCTAAGCAATATTATTGGGGAGGACCGGAGGCTGGGCTTACAGATAACATGTCAGGACTTATCTTGTTTATGAACATAAACATAGAAGCAAATGCAAAGTCATAAGAATTATGAAGGTAGAGAAGCATGTATCTAAAATGGTTCTAATAGAGATACCATAAGCACCTAAACTGAATGACTAAACTGGCCTTTATTTTACCAAAGGTACCCTTGTGGTGAATGACAGTGATATAAAACATCATAGACTCCAGTTCAGGAAAGCAGTTAAGCAAATGATTAAAGATAAATAGATGCTTCTGCTTCTACTCCCAGTAATAACAGTTATTTGAATTGGAACTTTGAAAAACACCTTGGTAGTATCTCAGACTAAATCTTATCAGTGACAGTTGCTGGAGAGATACTGTCTTCATTTGGAGTTACCTGTCTATACCAGTTAGCATACCTGATTACTTTTTGCTTCAGGTCTCAAGTTTCTTTGGGTACAGGAATTAAATGGTACCTTGGTTATAGCTGTGATGTTGCAAACCAAAACATAATATTTTTGTAGGAATGCATTTCAGCACATGACTGTGCAGCCTAACAGGCAGACTGTGGCTGCCCATGTTGGACGCTAGGGCACAGTGTTTTTTCCAAGGAGCTAAAGCATTGAACTTGCTTAAGTTATCTTATTCTCAGCTAAGAACTTCAAAATGCTAATCATGCAGTTGCTCATCCTAGTTTTACTCTTTTCTGCAAAAATTAGCTGTGACAAGGACCCGCAGACAACTATAATTGAAAATGGCAAGAGCCAAATGGGCCGGTTTTCCTTTGAGGTGTTTCGCTTTGTGAAGCACAAGAACCAGAAGATGTCTACAGTCTTCCTTCACTGCGTGACAAAGCTGTGCAGAGCAGATGACTGTCCCTTTCTTGTGCCAGTAAGTTTCAGTGGACAGAAGTTGCTGTTAATTATCTGGATATAAAAATAGGCACACTGGAGTTATTCTGCATACAAGTACTATGGAAGTTTGGATGGCACCGAACAAAAGTGACTTGTAGAGTCTGAAGTAAAGATGTGTTTTGTGTCTGAATGATGAAGAATAGGGCAATAAATATTGTCATCCGGAGATAGAATAATACTAGACCTGCAAAACACAGGTGGTTGAACATGTGAGAAATTACCTCTTTGCCTTTTGGTCCTTAATTTATTTTTAAAAGTAGCAACTCTGAGACAGCTTCAGAGCTGATATTCTTACTATAGCATCTAAAAAATGAGGTATCCACAATCACAGTAGATGAATAGAAGTATCTTAGAACAGAATTTATGGAAGACTTAAAGCTATAATAAATGCCGTTATGCTGACAAGGAAAATTTGAAAGAGTTTCTGATAACAAAAAAAAAAAAATAAAATTACTACATCCCCTATAGTTTATTGCCACCTCCCTTATAGTTTGGAAACTGCTGTTTTGTTGAAGTTCATGAAGTTGTGTCAATTATTAAAAAAATATTTAATTTTAGGAGTGTCAGGAGCAACAAATATATTTTGGAAATTGAAACATTTAAATAAACATATAAACACAGAATATTCTGTGTTGATGTGTTCAGAATGCGGTATTATTTCCTATTGAATGACTTACCATTTAGAATTTTAAAATGCTATCAGCTCAGTATACTTCTGACATTTTGTACGTTATTTTATACTTTTACATTACACTTTTAAATAATTCATTGTTTCTATTGAATTTATTTTCTGAGGTTTTTGAAGTTCTGTCATAAGAAGTTGAAATTAAAGAAATGCTTTTGGTTGAAGCATACTTAAGTACCCAAGTTTAAGGTAGATGATAAGTTAGAGATGTGTGGGTCATTGCTATTTAGAACTCCATGGAAAATGTGTGAACTTTTAACTCAAGAAGCCTGCTAGAATACACATTGTAGCATGGTGTCTATCCCTAGTCAAGCAAAACATTTGTTGAGGAAAAACTGTCTGTAAGCAAAGCTTTGGGAAATTAACTACTGAAAATTTAATATACTATAAGATGGATCTTGTACACAGCAGCAATGTAGTTCTGTAAATGAAGGGAGGCAAAATACAACAGGAAGCTGGGCATTTATAAGGTACATTTCTAGGGAATATTGCAGCTGTTTTTATTGCAAAGTAATTTAATGCATACTAAGAAATAAAATCAAAGTTGTAGTATTGCTTATAAAAGAGTTTACATTAAAGCAGGAAGCACAGAAGGGCGATTAATTCCATTCCACTCTGAAACTGTGATTGTTTTGATTAACCGCTCAGATTTGCAGTAACAGAGAAAGAAGAGACGCTGGTGGAAGGACAACTTGGAGCCCTCAGAGCACCTCTGGCAATGCTGTAATCTCTGCTGGCCCCATCATTACAAGGAGTGGTAGGAGCAAACTTTTTCTATAGACTGCAGGAATTTCGGAAATCTGGGGAAATGTTTTGCAGTTTAATATAAATTTGCAGTGACATAGAGAAAGGGTGGATTCTCCATGAGTTTGCTGGGTATTTTTTTCCCTACTATTGGAGCCTTTGGTAGAAATTTTGAGCTAATATTTCTGTTCAGCTCTCACATGCTTCTTCACTACCTCAGTAAAATCTCTGTGGGATACTGTTATGCACATAAGGCCATTATAAAAGCCCAAACTCAGTGGGTTGACTTCTTTTTTTTGTCAGATTTCACTGAAGATAATGGAATTTAAGGTATAGTGTTCAGTGTTGCAATTTAATTTGGACAGCTAATGAATATTCACTGTCACTTTCTATTCACCATTTCTTCCAGCTTCACCTGTGGGTTTTTATCTAAGTGTTGCATAGAATTAATGCATGCTATGCTTAGCCTTCAGCTATAAGAAAGAAATGGGACAAACACATTGTAAGTTCTAAATAGAGCGGGCCAAAATCTACTCCTTCAAATCCAGGGTGAAATTCCACGATTTCCATTTTTATTGACAAAGTTAAACAAACAAACAAACAAAAACCCCCCAAAACCAAAAAACCCCCAAAACCAAAAAACCCAAACCCCCTCCAAAAAACAGCTCTAAATGCAACCTGCAGTGTCTGAAAAGAATTTATGTGACTGCTGTTGATAAAATAATAAAAATAAAATATTTGAAAAATGTTTAAGAAATTCTGTTTACAGATATTTGTAAGTAGTTGCAGTTAAGCAACTGATTTCAGCAGTCTTAGATTTAGGAAGCTGAGAGCAGGACTGAATCCTATCTAGGAAAAATAATTGAAAGGCTTGAGAAATAGCATCCTTCTTTACGTGCAAAGTGGTTCTGCCCACATATACAAAGAGAACAACTGATCCTCCAGAATAGGGAACCATCTAGCAAGAGACCATTTTGAGAACAAACGCCCTCTGTTAAAAGCAATGTTTCTGCAATGAAAATATTTTTGTTCTGCATTAGACATAGTCCCAATTAAGTTGCTGCTATCCGATTAGTCAAGAAAAAGTGAAAAGTAGTAACTTCAAAGTTGTGTGCATGAGTACTTATGGGAAATGAACGACAGATTTGCTCAGACAAACATGTATGCTAGAGAAATGCTGCCTTAGGCAAGGAATAGAAACTAGATAAATCTTGTTATATGAGCCACCCCTATTAGGTAATATAGCTTATATTCAAATGCTGTGAATGCTATTTTTAGAATTGAAAAAAAAAGATACTTATCAATTAGCTTTAAATACTGTATAACTTCAGGTGAACAAAGATCTGTCCATGGGTGTTTAATGGCCCCAAAGAAAGGATAAATGATTTTATGATTTCTTGACAACGGCTGAGGTTTTTTAAAATGAAAACATGAATAAGGCTGGAAAAGGAAAATAATTTTAAGTGTCTTCTACTTGAGATATGTGGCTAAAGCTTTTTAGATTAGACATATTTCTGCATCTCCATACTATGCTTTTGGAGCATCCAACCTGTGTATAGAAGGATGGTTTGATGGGAAGTACTGTGAAATAAATGGGATTCAGTTCTGAATTCTGACATGAATTTCCTGAGTTGCATTGGGCAAGTCACTTAATCTGACTTGTACTTCACTTTTTCTTCTGGAGCAGAAAGAGGGAATTAGTATTTCCTCCCGCTGTCCCTTCCCATTGTGAAAATGTGTGTTAAAAATTGGAGGTTAATGAATACTGTACTCAAGAAAAGGGGGAAGGTCACGAGAGAACTTGAACAGAATTACCTGCTTTTGGATGAGGAGTGCCAGGGTGCAGTGCTGGCTTACTCTGATGCGATGCTGCATGGAGGTGCTTATACTATTTTCAAGGCGAAGTCTGGTCCAGCTTTAGTGCAGGTGCATTTGTACTGAGCCTATCAAACCTGCTGCATTGGACTCACCATAGTACATACCCCAGTATTAGGTCTGCAGCTGCATAGGTGTGCAACCCCTCGCTTCCCTCGTTTAGGCTGGTGCTGCTTCTGTCCCGGGGCCGGTCCTGTGCACATTGGTGTCTGCAGAGGCACCTCGAGTTAGCCAGGTCTCCCCATTACTCTTGTCACCAGTTGCTCTGGTAACAGAGCTGTTTATGCAGTTACCTTGATAGGAACTGAGTAGTGCTACTGCAAATGAGTAATGGTCCTTCTCCTGTGTATTTCTGAACTCTTATTTCTAACACGTTGTTCTTTTCAGAGAAACTTTATTCTTGTTTGTTAATCTAAAATAAGTCATTACAGGAGACATATACAGAAGAAAATGTTTTAGTTTCTGTGTGTAGAAACAAAGCAGGTACCTACTTGTGAAGGTGAAATTGTGTAGCTTTTGATGGATGTCTCACTTAAACTTAGAAGACAGCTGCTCAAAACAAATGTATACGTGAGCTGTGCTTACAAGTTGCACAAAAAAGGAAAAACAGTGACAAGAAATGTAGTTCTGAGATGGACAACGGTATGTAAGTAAAAACTGAAGACAAAATACAAATGTTTCCCTGAGTATAATGCCACTATGTAACTGTCAAGAGAAAGTGAGCATGGGGAAAGGGCATTTTTATAATCATTTATGGTCACTGATGTATTTTTCCTTGAAAAACTCAGGTTAATTTTTTCCCTATACAGATCTTGTAATATAATGAACAGTGAAGGGACTTGTGTATAATACTGTGCTTATGGTTGTATTTTTATTGAGGGACAGAATAGAACTGGACGTATTTTCAGTTAAGACATTCCTGCATGAAAGTGTTGTTTTTTGTTTTTTGTTTTTGTTTTTTTTCCACGGAATACTAAGTAACTTCATATTGGTGTGCTCGCATTAAAAATGAAGCAATGTCATGTAATTAATATTGTTATCCTTATTCTACCAGAGATGTTAAAAGCTACTAGTCAGTGTTGCAAGTATAGCTGATGTGTTTTGAAAATAAAGCTAGGAATATTGGCTTTTGTGTTGCAAGGATGGGAGGAGGCAGGCAGAGGTATTTGTAAAATATAATGCATCCCATTTTTGTTTTATACAGATGAGACGCCAACCAACAATTCACAGCTTGGTAAGTTAATCAGAATTCCAAGAAACATAAAAGCGGGTTTATGAGTGAAACAGAACTGAGGAGATGAACCATTTTGATTGAGCTCTATGCACTGAGCTGGAATGTTTTTTCTTTTTGGCTTTTTTGTCACTTAAATGAGTCAATACTGACATGCTGTAAAGAAAGCAATTGGTGAATCTGGAATGCTCAGTTTAATTTGTGTGCCCAGCCCCACCAAAACAGCAACTTCTAATTCCTATGATGGGATTGAAATGAAAATCTGCTGCTATGACATATGAGTGTGAGGGAACATTGCAACTGCCAGATGCAAAAATCAGACTTAAGCAGTAAAATTTGCTCATGCCATGCAGGAGGAGAGCAGCAAAATGGTGGTTATTGTGCAGTCCAGCTCAGTTCACAGCTCAAAGTCAGAAGAGCTCTGCGTCAGCTCCTGTTCTCCTGGCATTTAACAACACAAAGAGCCTATGGAGAAGCTTGGATAGAACTTGTGGTCTGCTAGGGCAATGAAGGAAATAAGCTGCAGGGGAGATTGGGTCTCTAAGTTTTAGGGTGCTTCTCCTTTGGGCACTTGGAGGACTTGTTTCAGCCTGTCTGTCAATGTTCTCTGCTGGTAACAAGGAGTAGCTAATGACTAGGAAAGGATGGTCGAGGTAATCAGGGGGTCCATTGGGCCATTCCACCTCTTGTTCATAACAGGACCAAGTGGCACAAGCAACCTATCCTGTCCTCTGAACTCTAATCCTATTTGTTCCCTTTTCCCAACTTAGACCACATAAAAGCAGTTGCCTTTCTTTCCTGGCATGGAAAGAAATTTCTCCCTGTAATGAATTGAATAATAATGAATATTATTATTAAAATAATAATAATAAAAAGCAAATTCTCCATTTGCTGCATGCAGCTTGCTGTGCTAATGGCTGGGGCCTTTTCTTTTCATCCACTGAAAGCAACA